TACGACCGAGACAACGGCGCCGAGCCGGGCCGCCGCCAGCATGACCTGCACCGTGAAGGGAATCATTGGGAGGTACAAGGTGACCACGTGGCCCTTACGAATGCCATACCGGTGCCGCAGCACAGCTGCCAGCCGCAGAACGGCCTCATGCATCTCGCCGTACGTCGCCGTGCTGCTTTCCCCCTCCGCGTTACCCTCCCAGTAGTAACACACGCGGTCTTTATGCTGTGGGAGGTGACGGTCGAGGGCGTTGTAGCACATGTTAGTCATCGCGCCATCAAACCACCTCACAAAGACTCTGCCTTTGCTCTTGTGGTAATTGTACTCCAGCACCGGCTTGTCTGCGGGCCACAGCTTTTCCCAGTAAAAGTTATCGGCCGCAATTCGGCTCCAGAAAAGAGCAGGATCCTTCACCGATTCGGCGTACATTGCCTGACGCTCGGCCAGGGAATGTCCCACGTACGACCTGGCGCTGTTTGCCTTACAGGGCTCGACTATGGTGCAGCGAACGCCTCCTCGCCCGTATGTCGCTGTTGTCATCATCGCACCCTTGCAATGTGTGTCTCTGTGCTGAAGACTGTTAGTGGCAGGGGTGGGGAGCGAACGCACATGTCAACTTCGCACACACTCTTCGTCTATTATTATTATTATTATTTGAGGCTGTTGGGTTTTTCAGTATTTTTTTCGTGTGCGTGTGTGTTTGGTTTTGAGCCGCCGCCGTCTTCCATGCCACACTTGCGGTGGAAATACGGCTAATGCGGCGATGTGCCCCCGAAAGGGGAACCGGGGCAACACAACACCCGCCCAGCCAACCCAGCAAGCCCCGTACAAAAGTAAAAGTACAGAGGACATTTAGAAGTGTGCCACGAATCCAAAGGGCATTGGCGCGAATGAGATGTAAATGCGCCCCCCTCCCTCTTTCTCTGCCTGTGTGTGCGTGTGTGTGTGTGTGTGTGTGCGTGTTCTGGGGAGACAACTGCCCCGTGCCGCATTCCCTTTTGCAGCCGGCGTCGTCTAACCACCCCCAACTCCCCCTGCCTCCATATCGCACGCACGCACGCACGCACGGTTATTTGCTCTCTCTTTTTTTTTTTTGCTCGCTTACTTCATCGTTCTCTCTCTTCCATCTGTTTGTTGCAGCGGTGCCCCGCCCGGGCTATCATCGCCCCGGCCGCCTCCCCAACGTGCAGCATCCCGCCAAAGTGGCGAAGGTTTTCTGTGCGGCCGTCGCCCTCGCCGCCCTCACCGCCCCTCCGCGGTCTCGTTCCTGGCGGCGCAGCACCCGCCTGGTAGGCACGCACGCGGGCAAAACAGTTTGCGCCGGCCCCCTTCGTTGTGGCGCGTCTCTGTCTCTGTGTGCGCGTGTGTGTGCCTCGCTGAGGTGAAACACGCAGAAAAACAAAAACAAAAAGTGATGCGATAAAGAAAAGAAGAAAAGAAAAAGAAAAAAAGGAAGATAAAGGCGGCCCATCGGCAGCATCGTTGGGGAACGCAGAGCGTGCAGCCGCGGCACACGCGCACACAGAGATGCCGTGCCACACCACAACAAAGGCATCCACCCACGCCCCACTGGGCTTGCGGCCCTCCGTTCATTCTACCGGCGCGTACAGCAGTATATTGCGTTCCCCACAGCCAAGACGGAGTCGTCGTGGGCGGCTTAATAAACAGGGCCCCCTCCCCCAGCCCCTCCTTTTGGGTGAGCAGTGCCTGACCGCGCGGCCTTCCCGCCGCCGCCGCACAGGCCCCACACGCCCGGAGAAAACAAATAGTAACACCACCAGCAGCACGGACAAAAATATCGTCAAGCCGTACATACACACACACATACATACATACATACGTAGATAGACATGTATGTATATGTAGGCCTCACGCAGAGAGAAAGGCTCAAATTCACACACAAAACAGAGGGAGCAAGCCAAAGAAAAAGACGAGGTTGTTTCGTTTAAGTTATTTCGTTCCTCCTCAGCGAAGTACTCCTTGGGCTGCTTCTCTTTCTTCAAACCTCATTAATGCT